TGACGAAGTTTAGACCGACTTCACAAATGTGTATTTATTAATACTATAATTGTAAATTATTTTTATGTTTTTTAATGAATAAATTGTACCTTAAAGAAAAAATCGTCCCAAAAATTATCACGGTTTCAATCTTTTTATAAGTTAAAGCTTTATAGTACCATCTTAAGGCTTTCGTTATTAAAACTAAACTATGGATCAGTAGATAGTGGTAATCCGTATTGATAGTATAAATGCAAAAGTAACTCTATCTGTTTGTCTGTTAACTTTTCACTCTTAATCCGCTGAACCGATTTAGGTGAAATTTGGTATGGAAATAGTTTGAGACCCTGGGATGGACATAGGATAGTTTTATTCCGGAAATCATCCCTAAAGGGTGAAAAATGGGATAGAATTTTGTATGGGGAATCAATCATTTCTCAAGTCAGGGTTATAAAATTTCTTATACCTATGTATATAGTCTATCTATTCCATACTAAGGATCAATATGTAACCTAGGAAAGAACCCGAGCGAATCGAGGGTGAGTCGTTTGTAGAGTATAATTTAACTCGATGCTTCGAGTACGGTACCCTGAAAATGATAAAAAGCCAGCCCAATAATGAAAAACATCAAGTCTTACTTAAACAAATTTTCGCGATCATAATAAAATTTTAACGTACAGTTAACAAGAAGTCCCGGTGTTTAACCACAATGAGCAGTAAAAGTAATCGTCTATTGTTCAGCACCGCTCCGGGCATATCAGAATTGACTGGGAATTAAAGTACTGGATAAAGCACCCATTATAATGTCTCACCCGTAATATTACTTCACCCATAATTTATTAAATCACCCATATTATTTCACCCATAATATTACTATATCCCCCATAATTTATTAAATCATCCGTAATATTGTTGCATTCATAGCATTATTTCACCCGTAATATGCCCCAACTCGCACCAGTAATTACATATGTCACTCAGTATACACTCAATACAGTATACGTACCTTTTAAAACTAAACGAACCCCTTTAAGCTTTTTGCTTCGTATAAGCATAACGATTTTCATCGTATAGGGGTATTTTGAAGAAATCCTTCCTTTGTGACTATTTATGTCATTGTCCCTGATGATTAATCATTTAAAAAAAATAGATTTTAGTTGAATTATTTTTTTTTAACAGACTTCAAAAAAGATGGATGGCCACAATTTGGGTGTATAATTTTGTGTGTGTGTAACACGATATTTCCGCAAATGATGGGGCCCATTTTTATAATCTTCTTCTTCTCCTAGCCCATTTCCCAATCACTTGGGTTCGGCGCAGTACATCTTCTGTACTGCTGATAGAATTTGGCATAAGTTTTACGACCGGCCATCTGCCTGATCGGCCACTTTCATAATATTTTGTTTAATTAATAAGTTTTGAGTCATTAATATCTTAAGCCTGTCCTTTTCATAATCAAAAAGACATTTCACTCTAAATGCTGGAATAATAACTATCAAAATTGCTTTAAAAGCTGGTATTTCTTAATGGTTAAAAATTACCTTAAAGCGCTATCAAAAAGGTCAAAAATTATTATTATTAAAGATAATGAATTAGCGAGATCTTTTCGGATTTTTGTGCGAATTTATTTTGATTTGGTTCTCATTTGGACGTTTCAAATATTCGCGTAAATCTAAGAAAGTATTATATCAATATTCTTCATTTATTAAGTCACATCTAGTACATATTGGGACGTCTTTGTAAAACAAGATTACCGAGGCCGCTCAGAAAAACAATGGTCAGTATATAATATTTGAGGCATTACAGAGTTTCGTTACTTATGATTTGGTTTGGTTCTCGCTTTTCGTGGAGGTATTTTTTTGGAAATTTTAACTTTTTTTTAACATTTGGTATGATTTATGTTCGGAAATGTGATTGGGCTGACGTCTTATCAATATTTTGGGTTTCCATATATATATATTTTGTATACAAGTGATTTACACAGGCCTTTTTCTTAATATTAAATATTTTTAAATTATTTTTTTTTAATTCTTATGTGATTTTATTAATTAGTTTTTTTTACTTAGTATTGCTCTGAGATAAGCTTTTGAAAATAAGCTCAGCTTGACCATAGCAATAATCGAATAGACTAACAGATATAGTTATTTTCACATTTACAATAACTATAGTAAGTTCGTCGAGTGGTCGAACTTCGACCATAATTATTATTGATTTTTTTTATTTATAAAACTAAAGCTTGTCGATAGCTATTAAACTATACATAATTCTCAATTCGACCACAGACTCCAACAATAAACAAAAGAGTATATATGTCTCTGTGTGTCAAATACGTGGTAGTGTGTGTAATGTTTTTTTTATTGATTTAATGTATTTTATATGCAAAATTAAGAAAAAAATTGCATTCTGCACTCCTTTTCTATATAAACTATAAGTGTAGGAAATTTCATACTCCTCCAAAAGAGGGTACAAAGTTTTTGCTTCACGTATTAATATATAGATTACTAATAAATAGTTAAAATTTGATATTTGTAGCCATTTTTCAGCGTTCTCACTATTTTATTTTAGCGTTCTCATTTCATTTAAATTTTCTTAACAACATATACGAATATATAGATAGCATTATTTCAAAAACCTATCAAAATTTATTAAATATCCGTACTAATAAAAAATACTGTTGAATATAAAATTGAATCGCTAATTATTATTCTATGAAGGTAGTAAGTACATAAGAGCTGACAAATAATATAAGCCCTTGATCGGCAATATCAAAAATATAAAAATGTCTTCCTCCAACAAGATAGAACCTGCGACCTTCAGTTACCATTGTTCTCTAGGTTTATGTCTAAAGATTGAACACATGGTATTCAAAATAATATATATTACATAGTTATAAAACTTTCAATATAGAAACTGTCAGAACAGTCTAGTCAGTGTATGGAACGTGCTAAGATAAACACATAATAGGTCTTTGTTTGGGAACAATATTATCAATTCCGCCTGCGGCTGGCTAATATTTCAATTATAATACCTTGAATATTCTAGTAATACTATATACTAGCGATTCACCCTCGCATCGCTCGGGTTCGTCTCTAGGTGATTCTTTAAATTGTTACGTAACTATTTTATTTATGAACCGATTGAAATCTGATTTGTGAATTTTGTGTAAGTTTGAGTGGGTTCCCGCAATGTTTGAATTCACAAATGGATCCGGTAGGTCGCGCTGAGTCGGCGTGTCACTAAATTTTCGTAAAAGACTTCATTTTCTGAGCAATAAATAAATTTAAGTTGTTGATAAAATAAAATAAAAATCGATGTGTGGTATGTATGTCTCCTATTGATTACAAAACAGCTGGAGCGATTTTGATGAAATGTTCAGGTAATCTTCAGATTAGCCCAGCGCGTGATTCTGTGAATTGTTAGCGATCGGAAGTTTGGACGCGGGCGAAGCCGCGGGTACTGCTAGTATTATATATATATATATATATATATATATATATATATATATATATATCTATATATTGTTTGTCCATCGTTTTTTTAGTAGCAATTGACTAGATTTTGTGTTATCAATTTTTTTTAAACAATTATATATGGCGTAGAGTGTAGAGAGAAGCTACTTTTTTTCTCTCCGTCTATGTTGCCAAGAAAAAACGTCTAGATAAAAGAAAAAACTCGGGTAACCTCAAACAAGTTTTAAGAGTCCATTCCGCTATCACGATCATCTTAGAACAAGCCAACTCTAACACCTACATGCAATAAAAAAACCAAACCTACATTTTTATCTAGACTCGCAAAACGGTTATCTTCGCATATAACTAACCATTTATTCCTGATCTCCTCAAAATTACTTTTCCTTCAAATTTGAAACTTATTCCTTTGAATTAGGAATCAAAACATTTTTTGTAGGGTCACAGATTAGTTGGTCTAATAGAAATGGGATACGTGTTGTATGAAGCTGCAGTTTCGGACGTTTTTTCGTGCAGTCTTGAATTGCTTTGCGTAATCGAGTTCGAAATGATTTCGATTCGTTTTGAATTGACTGTCAATTGATACTTGAGTAAATGAACTATGAAGTGAATGCTATATGATGTTTTAAAAAGCTCTTTTAAAAAGTTTCGAGCTTTTTGGGAAGAAGTTTTTAATAAAGTTATAGTGGGCAAATAATTCGAATGTTCAATAAAATATTTTTAACTTGATGTAAGTAACATGAATTTGCTAAAAGAAACTTTTACAATAATGAATGCAAGTTTCAAATAATTTATAATACATAAACAATTTAAATTAAAAAAATGAAAAATGTTATATAATAAATGATAGAACTCGTAACTACCTGTAAGAAATTAATTCGTGATTATTTTATAAATTTTTTTAATTATATTTAATCTACATGTTTTTCTAAACCTGTTATGGGTTGAACTTACTAGATAGAATGAGAGCAAAAGCGCTTTTTCACTTTGCCATCTTCTTCTTGCAATCCTCTGTTTCATATTAAATTCAACTTCTTTTCAACTAGATTTTGATTTCAATATTCTAAAACTGGCCATCTCTCATGGACTGCTTCTGTTGTGACAGCTGTTATTTTTGTTTTTCTCTTCGTTAGGTTCAACAACAATTTTACGTAATTTTCATACATACACAAGAAATAACATTAAAAATATAAATCAAAAATGCAAAGCCACTTATAGGTAAACACAACATGCATCACCTAAATATAAAAATTAGACGGTAAAAATAATATTATAATTTTTTTTTTTTACTATAGTAACTTTATTGACTGGTCAAATATATCCAAGTTACTAAAGCATATAAATGGCAAATTCTTGTAATAGGACAAATACGAGTAGCTAGCTCTCTTTATTATTGAAAACATTGCCAATTTTTAATATGAAAATATAAAATCTTCTTTAGCTATTTTAATTAATCGTTGTATCTGTGACTTATACAGTAATGTCAATATTAATTTATTTTTGTCCAACCTAAAATTTGTTGTAAATATTATCAAACAGCTAAATCTTCGTGAAATGAAATCTTGTATGACAAAAAATTTAGAATATATTAATGGAAATAAAGAAAACAGAATACATGATGAAAAAAAAAATTTTGACAATGAAAATGACAATAATGAATCTATAATAAATCCTGACTACGGAGACCTATATATTCTTGGCAGAATATGGATAGATGTTTTGAAAACAGCTCTAGTGGGTGAAAATCTTAAACTAATTCCAGTTGTTGAAGCAGCAAAAAAGACCCCTGCAGATCTTTTAGGGTCACCAAAAAGGCCACCCCCAATGAAATACACAGACTTATCTTTATACGAATGTCCACATTATGAATATAAAGACTACGTTGAAAGTACAGAGAAATGTCCAGATGCAAACGTCAAATTATTACATAGATACTTGCTCCCACATATTAAAACTTACAGGAAGAAAGCAGCAGATTGTGCTGGTGAAATAAGATCAAAAGTAAAACAACAGTGTGCAAGCACTTGTGCTACAATTCGAGACGCCAAAAAACAATTTAAAGACAACATGAGGGATTCTAATAACTTGCCTATCAGACAGGCAGTGGTAGCTGTAAGTGGAGTCGCAGGATTCTTTCTAGGGGGTGGTGGTGGTATTCCAAAACGTCTCTTCTTCACAACTCTTGGATTTCTAACAGGAGGATCATTATGCTTCCCTAAGGAAACTGATGAAGTGTTCAGAAATGTTACGTATTGTGCTGGAAAAAAATTCTTAGAAATGTACAATATGTTGTGTGGCACGGGTGTAGTGTTGAGAGAGAAGCTTCCATGTAAAGAAGACATGCCACCCCCTCCTCCAGTAAGAAAACCAATTGTATGTCCACCAAAGAAATAATTGCTAAACTCGTCTATTGTATTGCATTACTTAAATATTTTCAAATAATAATTAACAATCCACTCCTTATTTAATAGAATGTGAATCTCTCAATATATTCTTTTTGTAGATATATTTTAGCGAAAAATAAACATTTTATTTATAAACTTAAATGATTTTTACAGCTTTTGTAGTAACTAACCGATATTGTATTTGGTGAAAATTACCGATATTATAGTTATTTCTTTAAATTTCTAAGCAACGTCCAAAATCGAAACTAGAGTAACTTAAAAAAGAGTTTAAATTAGTAACAAATTGCAGGTGACCTATAAAGTTCTAATTCGAAGCGTGCATTGCGACAATTAGTTTACTATAGCTGAGTGGTTTTTTGTTGAAACAGTATATTGAAGCCTCATAGCTTATGAATAACGCTGGTAAATGTATTACAGGTTTGACTCTTGCGTGTGTAAACTATAAGGGTTTCAACCAAAATAATAGCCTATGAATGTTTCTATTTTATTCCTTCCCAATGTTATTATATTAAACCTGCAATTCTATTATATTGTATATTTTGTTTCTTGTATCTCGAAAACGGCTCTAACGATTTGGATCAAATTTTGTATTTACATATAGTTTGGCTTTTTAGTTTATCTATCTAAGTATATAGGTGTTTTTTTCTGAATAAACGCATTTTGTATGAATATATATATATATATATATATATATATATATATATATATATATATATATATATATATATATATATCAACTAGGTACTAAAAATTCTTCAAAATTTAAACTCTTATCAAAATTTCGACATATTCGCATATCAAACATACACACATTTCGTCACTTATCTATCACCCATAACTATAAAACGACTATCCAGATAACTTACGGCCATTTACGTTGTACTGACCTCATAAAAACACTCTATCTCTAGATTAAGAAGTATGATAGCTTTGTGACGTCATCACAAAGAACTCTATATTGTCGTACAATTTTAGCCAATTTCAACTTTATCCCATTGAAATAAAATCGATTTTTCATTGAGAAATCGTTATATTTTTTCCAAATCCAGCGTTTATTACTGTCCAGTTTCATAGGAGCCTTTTAATATACAATTTACATTTGCTGTTGAATTATTAACGATCAATCGATTTTAAACTCTATTGCTCTAAGTTAAGGATACTTTAAGCTGGCTATATTTCGAACAAGTTGGTTCTCAGTTAGTTGTTCACACTTGGTAGTTATTTTTAAATTTATTACAGCATGGTTTCTTGTAAAGTTTTAATTTGAAGAAATTGTTAGGTCGTGGGTAATTTTTGATGTAGTTTAGTTGTTAGCTTTTACTCGAATAATTTGTTGCTGACTTTAAAGTAAATGTACGGTAAACTATATGTACAATGTACATACATGATAATGGCTGTGTTATACTATTCTTTGCTTGTGACTTTTAATTAAACTAAAGTGTTACTTACGTTAAGGGATATGGAACCTCCATATTGATTTAATTTCTCTCAAGGGAGGTTCCATATTGATTTTGTGATCATCATACTTTTTTCTGAAGAAATAATTATTTTAGGTTTTCCATTGCAATTATCGTAAATAATATTTAATTTTGTTTTCCCTAGCGAATGTACAACTACCTTCATATGTCATTGCTCTTAGCCTGAAACTCCATAACTTTTAGGGTTCCGTTCTGTCAATAAATTGTCAGTAACAGCCTAGAATTGGTAAGTTGGCAGTATGACTTTTGACCCTTTGCCTCCAGGAGCACGTACAGACGTCGGTCTTGCACCTCTAGCCAATAGTGTTGACATTTTAAATAAATGACTACATAAGATTTTAGACGTCTCAAAGGTATATAATTGGTTTCTCCCGTGACCACAATTGCTGTAAAGCATTCGAAACGTCGAGAACCAAAAATCAAAATTTATCCGCAAAAAATCCAAAATATAATATATAGTTAAATAATAAAGTCAAATATTCGCGTAAATCTAAGAAAGTAATAGTGTTACATTGTCATCCCATAAGAGCTTAAGTAATAGGGAATGCACCAGTGTCTGTGTGGACATTTGTTTATTATAATAATATATACTACGCAGTTTGTTATTCTGAGATTATTTGCGTGGCTGAAATTGGTCAGGCGTCTCTTTGCTACCTTAAAAGGCTGTGTGTTTTAAGCTCTAGAAAATGTACGTAGCTGATAGATTTTTTGCAGAAGACGTATTCAATCTTAGGCATCGATTTTAAATCTACTTCTGATTGTGACATCAATCTGGAACTTAGTAAAGTGATATTTGGACGAAAAATCAACAGTTTGATGAAGCTAGGGAAAGACAGTGGAACTCTTCAATAGCTACTGCTATTACTAGACTCCGTAATTTATTAACTGATTTGAACAATTTTTGTTTTGTTACAAAGTTCAACCTTCTAATTTGGTCCCATTTAAATTTAAAAAACAATATCACCCCTAAAGGTGGAAAAATAGCTAATGAAAATTTAACTTATTTCTAGTTGTTATATTGACTTGAAACTTTGCAAATATTTCTATTGCCGTTGATAATACAGTGATTCGATATCGTCCACCTGATCTAATAGTAAGGCCAGAAGGAAGAACTACTCTTCAACGGTTAATAGTAGATACTTTGAGTTTAGGGCTATTTTGTTTCATTTGACAAACCCAATATTTTTAAAATATAATATTGTTAAAATTAGATTTTAGAGCCTGATTTTTAGTTAATAAAAGCGAATTTTAGTTGGTCAGTCTTCATATAAAACTTGGCATCAAACTAACTTAAACGGCTTAAGCTAATATTTCATTAAAATAGTTTCTTCTTACTTTGCTACTATTATATCTACACTAAAAATGTAAGAATAAAAACTTATTAAGAATGAATAAAAACCGACTTCGATCAATTTCAAATTCATTTGATCGACTATCATAATAGTATAGCTAGTATAATATATAAAATTCTCGTGTCACAGTATTTATAACAAAACTCCTCCGAAACAGCTTGACCGATTTTTATGAAATTTTGTGTGTATAACCGTAGGTCTGAGAATAGGACGTAAATAATTTTTCATACACCTAAGTGATAAGGGTGGTCTACCCTAGGGATGAAACCGAGCGGTGCGAGTTTGAGTCGCTAGTCTATACTAATACATATTATAAAGAGGTAAAGTTTGTGAGTTTGTGACGTTGTAGGCGGTAATCTCTGGCTCTACTGAACCAATTTAAATGAATTTTGGTAAGTAGATAGTTTGAAACCTTGGAAAGGACACAGGATTTTTTTATACTGGAAATCATCCCTTAAAGGGGTGAAAATGGGGATGAAAGTTTATATTGGGAAGCAAGCTAGGGACGAACCCGAACGAAACAAGCGTGACTCGCTAGTTCTACTATACGGTACGGAACGCCAACTTAATTTTACTTGACCAAAGATTTTATGTGATTGATTTTGTCACGTTGACGCAATGAAATTGTCGTAAAAACGCCAATGAAATGCAAATTTATTTGATGACATAATTAGATGAGCAGTAAAAATTACGACATAATTAAACTTTTACACTCTTTTGGAGAATTTATTTTACTTTAACGAATGTACATTTTATATGACGAGGAAGTGCATATATATGGCCATTTAGAGTAATTTATTCAATCTGTTTCATGTTTTAAAACTTGGATCTTGATCTAAAAATTGATATGATATCTGTTTTTAATTTTTGTTTCTTTATTTATCAAAGGCGACACAAATAAGACTGTAATAAATAGAAAAGTTTTGTTTATCTTTAGCTTTAAAGTTTTCAAACGTACATACAAAAAAAATCTAATACATTATGCTAAATAATATATATGTTATTTAGCATAATGTATTAGATTTTTTTTAATATTATTTTTAAAAGTCGTTGTAAAATAAAAAGTCATTAAAATGATAAAGGGTTCCGTACCCGAAGGGTGCCAACAGAAACCTATTACTAAGCCTCCGCTGTCCGTCCGTCCGTCTATCAGAGGACTGTATCTCATTAACCGTAATAGGTAGAGAGTTGAAATTTTTACAGAGTATTTATGTATTTCTATTACTGCTATAAAATAATAAAAATAAATAACAAAACATTTTTTTTAACGTTCGTAATGGATCATCGGAGATAATTTACTAAACATATAGAGTAAAAGTCTTATGAATAAAAAGTACATATACGGAATCCATGTTCGAATTCGACTCGCACTTGACCGATTTTTTAAATTACACAAATATTGAAAATATTTTTTTGTAACGTACATTTTTTTTTTTTAATTTTAGATACATAAATATTATGGTAAAATTATTTTTTCTTAAAAACTCTTCATGGGGAGATTTATCTTTGCAGCTACATTATATTATCTGTGTTTATATAAATAAGCAAAAACACATCATTTTGTACTCTGTTTGTGTCCGATTTCTTTGTGTTTAATAGCTTTAGTTTTTTTTTCTTTAGTGGCTTAGAGTTGCGTTAACAGACGCAATACATTCTGCCAGTGTCACGTATTGAGCTGTACTTTATATTGTGCTGTGTACAGCAAGCTTTAGTATTTATTATCAATGAAAACCTTTTTGATTATTTTTTTATAGTGATCATATGTGATCATATGGTCGGATAGCGACCCACTCATAAAAAAACCGTTTTATTCTTTCTTAAGCATCAAAACTCTCTAACACTATAAAAGAATGAAATTTTTAACAACTTCAATTTATCAGATAATTTGATAAAATTATTCAAAAAGCAATTAGTCAATAGTGAGTGATTACTATAGGGTCAGAGGCCAACTTCGAACATATGAATAAAAAAGGTATTATACCTCACGCTTGGAACAACATGCATTTGCCAGTGACTTTGCCTTGCTTTAACTGGCTTTACAGAAAGAGGTTCTTAGTTTGGTTATAATTTTGTATGTACATACGAGTATGTGTATCCCACTAATGTTCTAAACATGAAAATTTATGAGGATGTAATGATGTATGTTTGTTACTCTT